TATATATATATATATATATATATATGTATATATAATATATATAATTTCAAAAAAACCTTCCCGCATTTCTAACCGCTTCTCAACACTGTTATTTTTTCGCCTTAATCCCTTTCAGCTTATGTCATTGAAATTTAATTGAATGTTTCTGACAGGAATCAACACAATCAGCAAGAAGCCATAAACGCTCACATTTTGGCTGCCCAATGGTTATGACAACGAGTCCATCTAACAGACCAGCAGAAATTTGCCATTTCACAAGAATGTATGTGTGGCGAGTGTGTATGTGTGCGGATAAACGGGCAGCAAGTGCAAATAATATTATGCTTAACTGCACGCACACACACATGTGCCTTGCTGTACAGGCAACCGGACTGGACATGTCCAGAGGGCACTGGCGAGTCCAGGCGGGTCGAGAGTGTAGTGTGTGCATGCCACCGGAAGCAGCTAAGGACAACACGCACAACTTTGCTTGGCCAAACAGCATTAAGGAACCGCACGTACGCACACAGCAGCAGCAGCACCACCACCACCACCAATATGTGCCTGTATGTGTGTGTCTGTGTGTGCGTGTGTTTGTAATTGTAATAACTGTTGTTCCGTATCGTTGTCGTAAGCTGGCTTGTTTGCCACTGTAATTGCCCCGACTACTTTCCGTAAATCCTGATCCTGGCTGGCCGTGGCGCTGCCATTGACAAGTTCAATAATGGCCATCGACCGCAACATCTGGTTTAGTTTGCCAGCCTGGCCGAGACTGGCCTCGGCTGGACTGGCCTGTCTGCCAGCCTACTTGGCATTTGGTTTCAGTTTCAGTTGCAGGTATACAACGGCAACAGCAGGAGCAGGAGCAGGAGCAGCAGCAGGAGCAGGAGCAGCAGCAGTTAGCCAACCGAGCGCCTAATTGAATAGCCGGTCCACAGGATGGCGGCAACAGTGAAACATTAACTGACATTTGAGCCAGCACTAATCTGCATAGAATTTGCAACTTGGCAGCCTGTGCCGAGAACTTACTTATCGCAGGACATTCAGCCGCAGATGGAGACACACACTTCACACACCCCACTCTCACACACGTACACACACACACAAATACACATACAGTCTTACTCACACCCATTAATATGCTGCTGGCGCACATGTGCAAAGCGCCGGCTGCCAAACCCTTATCATGCGCCCAGACTTTGGACGCCCTTTTCTGCTTTGCATGCATATCCTGGCCCATTCTGCCAGCTAGCTAACTGCATCTATTTAGCATAATTTGTTGTCTTGTTGTTGTTTTTTTTTTTTTTTTGCTCTCTCTATCTTTACTTTCTTAACTTTTGTCTGGGTTGCTGCAAGGCTGGCATCCAGGCATCCTGGCAGTCAAGTATCAAGTGCTCAAGACCAAAGACTTTGTCTAACTTCCAGTTTTATTGGCCTCTTATTATTGAATATTAAAGCAAACATTTGGTTTTACTTTTAATTTTAGTTATTTTGAAAAAAAAAAAATAAATAAATAAAATGACATCGTTTCTTATTCCCTAAAATTATTATAGTACTTTTAAAAATAGCAACAACAATGTAAATTATGCTTACGTATGTACATGTAAACAGTAAAATAAAAAAATAACAGTTAAAATAAAGCTTTACAATACTCACTTGCTCTCCTTCCATTCTCTCGCTCTCTCTCTGTATTCCACTCTCTTCGGCACTTGGAATTGCATGCAACCTTACTACTTATAGTATTTAAGTTAAAGGAAAAGCAAAATTTTATAAACACCTTAAAAAAGCAAGCACGGCTTCAGCTATTTAATGTTTTACACTGATACATAAATATATTACACACGCGAAGTGCATACACGCATACACACAACCGATCACTGAGAGAAGCGCACAGCAACTAAATGATCAAATTATGCTCATGCGCTTGCTACTCACCGTTTATCCAGTGAGTTCACTAATACCAACAGACGCAGCTATTTAGATAGTGAGAGCACACAATTAGAGCTGCACTCACGCCATGCTCAATTTGAGTTGATCTCTTAGCTCAACGACCAATAGCATGAAAGCAGAGCCGCTCTATATACATACGCTCTTGAGTGAATTTGCGTAGCTATAAATTAGCGGCAGCATTGACTCTCCAATCAGCAAGGGCAAGTTGAGCTTTTTACATTTTTGTGATAATTGAATCACTTAATATATATATATGCATAAAAATAATATACTTGTTGCTGCCGCGGAAAACTGAACACATATATATATATACATTTTTTATAAGCATTTAATACAATTTAAATTTGCCGCAAAAGCGTGTCGTGTTTTACAGCACTGCACAATACTGGGCAATAGTGACGTCAGCTGCGAAACAGCTGTTTTCTTGCTTTTGCCGCTGCAATGAAAAATGTGAGCAAACTTAGTTTATAAGTTCAATGTGGAGTTTAAATTTGTTTATTAATTAGTTAAACTATTATGGTAAATAATATGTTGAGTGTATTTATGTTATTTACTTAATGAAAATCATATATTTACAGAATTTGGACGAAATTTTCCCCGATTTGAGTGCCTTAAAACGCGCCTTGGCCAAATTGGTTTACAAGGATTTATTAAATAGTTCTGTATACAAACATATATTGTATATATGTATATAGTTAATATAATTTACCATTTGCAGATGAACGTTTGCGCGATATCGAGCCGCATTTTGACTCATCTTGCGGCGTTTTTTATTGGAGCGCCCAAAATGTGGAGCAACAAAATTCCGTTGCTTATTTGCCCATGGAACACGCTAAAGATCTGGACTTTGAGCTGATTAGACGCGTGCAGGAGAAATTACAAAACTATATCGTTATAGTAGCCATAGTGGATAATACGGGCAATATATTGTATTATCAGATCACAGAGGGATTGAATGAGAATGGCATATAAATTGAGATTGCGAGTTTATATGGAACTGATCCTATGCTTCGCCTCGGTCGTACCCTAAGAGCACAGACAAATGCTAGTGGACTATATGTCCCATTTCCATGTATTGTCGAGGGACAACAAAATGCCTTAAGAGATGACAGCGAAACCTATGGAATTTGATCCTATCCATAGTTTCTACTGTTTGTAGAGCTTTCCTAAAGAGATCCAAATATACTATATAAGTAATATTCATGATCTATTTGATCCACTAACCAACTAACTAAAACAAAATTAAGTATATAAAAACATAAATAAATTTGTAACTCATTTCATTTATAGCGATAGATATATTTATTCAAAATCATATCATAAAGTTTGTTTTTTTTTTTAGCATAAATAACAATTATGTGCAAAGCTGCAATTGGATGCATAATATATATGTACATATAAGCATATGAATCTAACGATCTTTGCACACAATAAATGATATAATAGTTTTCGCATAATCATAGATTTTATATAATCAATAATCGTAATATAATTATCTTGACATTATAGATTTATATATATGTATTTATATAACTTAGGCACTAAAATTCAAATAATCGAATGCTACAAACTTAAAGACAAATTAAAAATTAAATTTTCTTTAATAATAGGCATAGATATTTATATATATATAAATGATTTTGTATATATATATATATATATATATAGCTTAAGTTTATTTAACAATCTGATTGCATGCGATTGAGAAAATCTTTTTGCATAACTTGGAAAAAATTCTCAAATGCTTTTTAGCTGCTGATCTATTTCTTTTTCATATTGTATTTATTTATATATACTTTTTTTTTAAAGCGTGCACCGCGAATAATTAAAAAAATGATAAATGAATTTAAAAAAGATATCTTTTAAAAATGCTCAAAGCAATACAGTTTTTATGTTTGTTGTATCGTTCTTTTGCTTAGGGTTTTTTTTTGTTAAAGTACAATAATAAATAACAAATGTATAAGCATGTATATATGTATATAATTAAAAATATAAAATTAAAATAATATATATATTTATTACTCAACTCGGGCAATGGGGCTGAGGAGTTGAATTGAAGGCGGCAAAAAATAATAATATACAGTTTGAAAAAATTGTAAATATTTGTTGTTTATCGATGAGCTCTTTAAATATATGTATATGCGTGTGTGTATATATATATTTAATAAGATATAATATTTGTATTATGACTTGCTTTTCGTTTTGTTCAACATTTTTAATGTGATTTGTATGTTTCATATGAAAATAGGTGTGTGTATGTGTGTGTGTCTGCTCACGCTTGTAAATAGCTGTGTGGGTATATTTATGTATATATATTTATAACGCTCTCTACCTTCTTTACTTTATCTCTCGCTCCTTCTCAACTAACATCTATATATAAAATATAGAACCTGGCTCTCTATAATTTCTTTTGCTTTAAATACAAATCTTCACAAAAATTTACACCATCCTTAAGGCTTTCCCAGTGTTATGTATATATATATGTAAATCATATAAGTATATCTGTATATATGTGAATTGAAGCAGCTGACTTGATATAATATGATTGTATATATGTATGTATATGTTTATGTTGGATGCAGGTGTTTACAATTTATGTAGAATATTCTAGGCAAATTTGGTCAATGCTTCTGAGCAAAAATCATGCACAAGTTTCTCACAATTTATACATATAAATGTGTAAATATATATATATATATGTATATAGAAATGTATATAATATATTCATATATCGTTTCTCATGTGTAAAAGCATTTTGTTTTCTTGTTTTCAACTTATTGAACTGAGCTAGGCCCAGGGCCAGATTTAAGACTAAATGTAGTTGGGTTGGAGGTTGATTCTAACACCAGTCGGCCGTGTATGAAAAGTCCTGGAATAGCAATTGCTCCTCATCGGTCAAGTGCCGCGGCTCCTTTGGCGGCGTCAGCTGTGCCTTCTCCGACGTGAATTCCTCATCAAAGTTCGAGACATCTTCCAAATGGTTCTGCATGGATAAAATTTATATAAATATTGTTTTGCCTTTTTTTTGAGGGGGTTTTTATTCAATCAGAATCTTACGATGGTTGGCACAAACGGTGGCTTCACTTTGCGCAGCAGCAGATCATCCCAGACAATGGAGCGGAAGAACGCTTGCTTCTTGACATCCTCAGCATCGCGCTCGGATGAGCCCAGACGTCGTTCCGGATTCTTGCGCAGCAGCTATAGGAATATGATATATTAACTCTGTGATCTTTGCTCGATTTCAATTCCCGTCAACTCACCCGTCGCATAACGGCAATGGCCTCCAGTGAGAGGAAGCGCGGATAGCGCACCTCATCGTTAACAATCGAGTCGAAGACCTCCTCCTCATCGTCGCCCGGGAAAGGAGACTGCAAATTCACAATATTAAAAGACATTTCAAATAGACTTTCACTCTCTCTCTGTCTCATTCTCACCTCTCCAACGAGCATCTCAAATATGAGCACACCCAATCCCCACCAGTCGACAGCGCGTGTATAGGACGTCTCTGTCAGCACCTCGGGTGCCAGAAATTCGGGTGTGCCACAGAAGGTGCCCGTGCGATCGCCAAAGCCCATGCCCTCCTTGCACAGCCCAAAGTCGGCGATCTTCACATAGCCTTCCGTATCGAGCAGCAAATTGTCCAGCTTCAGATCGCGATAGATGATCTTGTTCTCGTGCAGATACTGCAGGCCCAGCACCACACAGGCGGCATAGAAGACGGCGCGCGGCTCCAGGAACACATCCGTATGGATGTGCATCATCAGATCACCGCCGGCAGCGTATTCCATGACAAAGCACACGTGTTGCTGCAATTAATTAAGAAATTTAATTAAACTAATGGGTTAATAATGTTTAAATTAATGTATACTTATTAGCTAATATATAGATTTATAGAACGTAATTTTATTTACAATAACAACAAAAACTATTAATAATTACTTAAATAATTGCAAAATAAACTATATGTAATTAGTTTCTAATTATTTAAGTATTTACTAATTTCAAACTTAAAATTAAATATTTCATTTTATGGAAAATTTAAAGCAAAAAAAAAATGTCCAAATATTCAAAATGGAGAATTTCTTTAATATAATAATAATATATTTAAAAATAATAATAATATATTGAAATATAATAAATACAATAATAATATATTTAAATATAATAAATATAATAATAATATATTTAAATATAATAAATAAAAAATTATAATAATATAAATATTTTAAGAAAAATAAAAAAAAAATTATAAATAGAAATTAATTATATATGGAAAATATTTATAAAACATATTAATAACATTTATAAACAATTAAAAAAGAATTATTTTTTAATAATTAATAATTAAAGAGTTTCAATTCGTAATTAATTCATATATTTTCTATACATATTTTTATTGCAAATAAATAATGAATATAATTCATTTCACTCTAATTATAATTACATTATTATCTATTCAACTACAATTATAAATTTTTTTATAAATAAATTTATATATACTATAATTAGTAATTGAGGATAGTAATTAATTTTATCGCCACTCACCTCCGTTTGGAAGCACGAATACAAATTGACTAAGAACGGATGATGCATCGCATTGGCCACCTCAAAGATGCGCTTCTCGCTGAGCAGCGACTCCACCTCGTCCCTGGCAATGATGTCGCCCTTCTTCAGGGCCTTGATCGCATAGTACTGATTGTTGCTGCGCAGCTGCGACAATATCACCTTGCCGAAGTGCCCGCGCCCGAGCACGCTCAGCAGCCGGAAGTTGTCGATGGACAGCATGCCGGGATTGGGCGGTGGCTGTGTGGCACGCAGCGCCTCGTAGCCAGCCGACTCACGGTACTGCAAGCCACGCGCCACATTCCGTCGGCCACCGCTGCTGGCGGCAGCGCCCGCCGTCGTCGCCTTGGCCACATTCAGCTCGTATTGATTGGCATAGATCGGCTGCTGCTGCTGCTGCTGCTGCTGCTGCTTGTCCTGTGTTTGTCGCTGCGTCGGCTGCGGGAATTGTGGTGCAGCAGTGGTGCTATTGCCATAAATGGTGGGCGTCGGTGGCTCCTGTATGATGGGCGATGATTGCACCGCATAGGGCAGCTGCTGCTGCTGCTGAGTGCCCACATAGAGCTTGCCCAGCTGCGGTATGACCTAAGTTATGCAAACAGAAGATTTTAGATTAATATTGAGCTCGAATTTGTTATTAAACCAAGTTAGTTGTGCAACTGAAAAGCTCTGAATATTGGCAGTGTATATAGAGTTTATATATATATATATATGTAATTATATTATATATGTGTGTATTTATATGTGCGTTCAAGCTTTACCTCATCGAGCTCTTGAACAGACTCTACATTAGTTATTAAAACACTTTCGATGGCTGCCTCCTCTATAAGGCAGTTCAGGCTGCTGCTGCTGCTGTTGTTGTTGCTGTTGCTGCTGGGTATTGCTGCTGTCTCAATGGGTTCGAAGGTTATATGTACAACATTGATCTTGGCCTGCAAGAGTTTATTAAATTGTTTTTTTGTTTTTTTCTTTTTCTTTTTGGGGTGGACAGAGCAAACATGAACTACACAAAACACATACAGGTGCAGAGGTTGCTGCTGTTGCTGTTGCTGTTAGCAGCAGCTGTTTCAACGGCCTGGTCAAGGCAAATTGATGAAATTGCTGTGAATGTTGTTGTTGCTGTTGCTGCTGCTGCTGTGGCTGCTGCTGCTTTTGCTGATGTTGCAGCGCGCACAGCTGCCGCACCATCTGCGCCAATGCCTGAAATGTGGGCACAATCATTGCGCTGCTGCTGCTGGCGCTTGCAACATGACGGACAACAACTAATTCGCTTGGCCAAGAAACAATACTGAGTGCCAAAGTCATGACCAGAGAGGCCAAAGCAATTCTTTTTCTATGTTTTTTTGGATGTCTATTTGCCATGGGTTGCGAAATGTGACCATATAGCACAGATATATGTATGTATATACATATGTATATCCATATTTATATATAAATGTCTATATATACGAGTTTGCAACGTGAATTGCTTTTAAAAATAATGGACAAAAAGGCAAAGACAAATGTACAAAAACGCTTAGCTGCAACTGAGTGAGTGTGTGCGTGTATGTAAGGGTGTATTTCCATGTGTATGTGTGTGGACAACACTTAAGACATAGACCAAAACATATACAGGGTGACCGTCAGGCACTTAAGTTAAAAAGAAATTTTCTGGCACGTGAAACGTTTCGCGTTTTAATGTTCCAATTTTCCGCCTTTTCAATAGAAACTTTTTGCTATTTTTAAGCTGTTTCATTTTGCACACGTTATTTGAATATTGTCACACAGATATACATATATATATTTATATAAGACTGCAAGGTATATTTAATAACTGAGACACGATGTCTAGCAAGCCGTGATATATAAAACTTGTTGACGTCCTAATCAAAACACTTATCTATAATAAATTATCTATATTTCTTTTCTATGTAAATGTGTTTACAGGGTATCTGCGAAACACATGCGCGAAATTCTGGAAAAATAATTGCTTGTCATACGAGTTTTCTAATTAGAATTTACGTTTTCTAGCTCATGAAATGGCTTATACTGAATATTCATATCTAAATATATATAAATATCTTAATTAATATGCATATATTTCAAATATACTCTCATCTACAAACATCACAGGGTATCTGACAGTCGTAAAGAAATTAACATAAAATATTCTCGTTCACTTCTAACGCAAATTTCAAAGCTTTCATCAAACATTTCCTTTTGCTGCCAGAAAACATATAGTATAAGACTCATAAATTTATAAGTGTAGAGTGACAGTTTACTGTTTAACATGAAGTAGAAGACGATCGTTGTATAAGACTCATATGCACTTATTCCAACAGTTTCCAACTAACATTTCCAGTAGCTGTCAAAGTGGATAAAGTAGAAGAGTTTCACAAAACAGCTCAAGAATTATAAGAGCAATCTGACGATGTTTTCATCTAAAAAGCTCTCTTCAACTGCCAAGTATAAGCAGTATAAGACGTTTGTATGAGAGTTAATAGAACAAAAGGATACTTTAACACTTTTAAACAATATTCAGAGCTTTCATATGATTAGTTAACTTATAAAAATCTTAAAAATAAATATAATTTAAGCTATTACATATATTTGGCGCTCATTACAGTTGCTGTTAGCTAAACTACTTTGCAAGTGCTGTTAAAATGAAATTCACTACAGAAATGTTAATTAACAGACATATATATATATACTGTCTGCAAACTTTAAGAGCAACTACATGAGCAAGTGCAAGTGCTGTTAATATACATTCCAATAGCTGTGTTTGTTGCGTGCCTGTTAACATAACATAACTTAGGTGCTCAATGTTAAGTGAGTGAGTGCTTTTATGTGCAGTTAAGAGTTAGCATAAAGGCGAATCGTGATAGTGATGGCGGAAACAGAAACATTTTGAAGCCATTGTAAAGCAGCTGTCAGCTAACATAGAAGAACATTAACAGTAGCGGTAACAGTAACGGAACACCAGAATAACATAAATCATGTGAAACACGTTTCGGCTGCCATTAGTAGTAGTAATTGAAACTCGATTAGGACAAAAATTGAGATTAATTAACGAAATCCAAACCAAAAGCCGAATAGTAAATTGTAAACAGGGTATCAAAATGATAGAAAGAAAAACCTCCTAACCTCCACACAGAAATGATCGCCGGCACTGGAACTGCGATTGGAGCCGGGCTGCAGCCCGCCGCTGTACAAATACTCATCATCATCCTCGGGATACTCAACCAGCGGCGATGACGAGGAGCAAGTGACCAGCATTGGCTGCTCCTCATCATTTGCCCCGCCGCCAACGAGCACCACCGGCGGCAGCGTCAGGACGGGACGATGCAATTGCTGCTCCACCGCCGATGGCGCAGCTGGCGACTGTCTGGCTGCTGGCTTCTCGATCGGCTGCTGGAACTGAAACGGGTTGCGTATTGTTAAGGAGGTGAGCTCAACGCTTGCGCTTAGCCTCTGCTCAGCTGCAGATAGAGATGGAGCTGAGGCTGGAGATGGAGCTGGAGCTGGGGCTGGAGCTGGAGATGGGGCTGAGGCTTCAAGGCAAATGTTGTTGATGCTGTTGCGGTTGTTAATTTGTGTATCGGGTGTTGCTGGCGGCGATTCTTGCAGGGGCATTACGGTCTCTATCTGCATGATACGCAGCGTGGCCATGCGTTTCAGGTGCTGCTCCTGCTCCAGCTCGAACGGATCCGGTTCGAGTTGACGCTGCTCCTTGGGCAGCGGGCGGCGCAGCGTGTTTGGGTATGATTCCATTTCGGAAAGGAAGTCAAATTCATGCAATGCATCCTGCAACTGTCGGCGATTAACGGCATCATGACAGGACACATACACACATACACACACACGCACGCGCGCGGACGTGAGCACAGGCAAAGCGATAAGCGATAACAGCAGGCAGGAGAAACAGCGAAGGAAAATGTATGTGTGTGTGTGGAAGAGAGCAGAAATGGGGAATATGGATAAGACATGTGGATATTGAAGTTAAGATATACGAAGAAAGATGAGAGATAGAGAATATGGGAAGAAAAGACATTCGCAAAACAGATGTGAACGAAAAGATGAATTGATGATGAGAGAAGAGGATAGAATGGCGAAAGAAAATACGTAGATAGAACAGATAGAAAGACAGCGAGAGAGAGAGAGGGGGAGAGAGAGGAGATAGAAAGAGAGACAGAGGGAGAGGAGATAGGGAGAGAAAAATCGAAAAGTTGAAAGAAAAGAGACGAAGAGATGAGAGAGAAGACGAGGCAGATAGATATATTCAAAGAGAGAGACGGAGAAACAGAGATAGATAGAGATGTAGAGAAAATGAAAGAGAAAGAGAAAGAGAGACACAATTGATGGGAGATAGCAGGCTTTAGCTAAGCGTAAGCGGTATGCAGTATGTGAAAAGATCGCGTTCGGAAAGGCAGAATGAACTAGGGCAGCTTAGATGAGAGTTCAATGTAAAGAACTAGTTCAAAAGAGCTAATAACAAATTACAGAAAATTCTCACTAAATAGACTCTGCAAAAACTAACAATATATGACAGAATGGCTAATAAATTATATAAAAATGTAAATGTATTTTGGAACTAGTTCAATTTATTATGTTTGCAAATATTTAATCTACAAAGCCAAGGCTACGACAACACAAATAAACTAAGTACATCTCACTAAGGAACTAGCTAAGTGCCTATAGTTCCGATGAACTATAACTAATACTCTTCCATTCATTAAAATTCGGTTCTTAATGATCGAGAAATGGATCCGGCAAATGCATCATCTAGTAAATATTATATAGTACATTGCTCAACGTCAAGTTGTTCTGTATGGAGTATTTGGTTGCTAATCAGATGATCTATGTACAGTGACAAAAGAGAGAACAATATCCAAATGAACCAACACCAAAGCGAACCAGACATAGACTATATAGATGTATGTATGGGGTATGGTGGATAAATTTACAGAATGAACAGCTCTGGCAGAGGCACAACGATCAAATCAGCTACAGAGATATAACTACATATATGCATGTATACATATATATAGCTATATGAGTATTTATATAGAGCAGTAGTATATATATGTGTATAGGGAAAGTAGTAAGTCTTTTTGCTATACAGTTGCCAAGCCTTAGATTAGTCGATTCGCTTACCTCCTGATCGAGCACAGGCGTCACCGACTTCAGCACTGGCGGCGGCGGTGGCGCCGTGGTGGGCGCGGCCGTGCGTCCCGGCGGCGTCTTGCCAGGCATCTGTAGGCTAAGCGAGTTGGGTCTGCCGCCGACTTGAGCTGCGCTGCTGGCAGCTGCCTGCTGCTGCTGCTGCTGCTGCGATGCTGACGAGGATGACGCCGGCGGCGGCGTCTCTGGCGGCAGGACACTGATGCCCTGCATGTGCAGGGAGAGCGGACGCAGTCCACTCAACCCACTGGCAGCAGGATCCGGATATTCACCGGGCGTCTCCACATGGTCGTGCATGCCCGCATCCGGATCGAATTCCATATTCTGTGCCTGTTCGCCCGGCGAATAGGGTTCCGGTTCGACGGCCAGCGCATCGGAGGAGGGTGTGCGCGATATGGGCGACTCGGAGCCGCGCGAGGCGGCGCTGGGCAGCGGCGAGGAGGCGCGTCCCACGGCCATCGATGTTGTGGAGGCAGCCGCATTGCTGCCCGCACCCAAATGCACATGATTGGGCGCATTGCGCTTGAGCAAGCGTCCCCAGGTGGCCACATTGATGTTCATTTGCTTGGCACGCGAGATGTTCTTCGCCTGCTGCCGATTGAAGATCATGCGCTGGCGTCGCAGTTTCGGCTTCTGCGAGATCATCGGATTCAGAAACTTGACCTCGGCGAAGAGCAGGCCCTGCGGCTCCAGCTGCAGTGCCATGCCGTGGCGCACATCGTCAATGAACTCCTCGAGCCGCAGCACCTTGACGGCGCACAGCGAACGCCAGTCACGCCAATAGACGCCAATCTCCAGCTCCCGGGAGCGATCTAGATCGATGGAGAAGCGCTGGTCCCAGGCCTGCTGCGAGCACGGCTTCCACGAGGTCTGGCCCACCGTAATATTGTCCAGCTTGATGACAGCCATGATCTCAAACGAGGTCTCGTCCTTGACCGAATAGCTCTTGGAGCTGCTGCGCGACGTGACGCCCTTAACAAAGCTGCGCAAATCGCCCGGACTAGAGCTATTGTCCTTGTCGCGCCGCGAACGACCGGGCACATCCTCCAGCAGATCCTGACAGCCCATCAGGCGCACCTCCAGCTTGCCCGTGACGCTCGCACAGCGGCCCAGCGACGACACCGACTGATACGACTTGCCGCCGAGCAGCCCGCCCGGACCCGACTGCAGCGATGTATAATGCACGGGCGCCGGCGACGTTGATTGCTGCACGATTTGCAGCTCCTGCTTGAGCAGCTGGGCGGTGGGCGAATCGGGGGGCAACTCCTGGCGACGCAGATCCAGGGAGTAGCGCAAGAGATCAAGTTTACGCGACGACTCCGACAGACGGCCGTGTGCCTAGAAGAGGAAGCATCAAAAACATAATTAAAACATTGTGAAATTTACAAGAAATTTGTTAGATTAAAATCCATTTCTTTTTGTTGTTGCTTTTTTTTTAAGTCTATATATTTATTGATTACTTTGATTACATAGAAAATTATGACACACACACACAAATATACATATTAAAAACTGATTCAGCGTTTGAGGAACATTGGAAACAATATATATATAAATATATGTATGTATTTGGCTTAAGTCTCTATTTGCGGCTGGGTTTCGGTTTCGAATTAATGGGCGTGGCAACTTATGCAGAGTGTTAAATGCAAGCTAAAATCAGACAAATCAAATAAACGAATAAATACGAAATGCTTAAATTCGCACAGAGCCGAAGTTATAAGAGACCAGGGCAGAGATTTTAGGTATTGATATTGATAAGGTTATACAGAAATTGATCTATTATTTAGCATTATTGGTTACTATTATTCAAGTTCATGGAAAGTGCATTCAATTTGTTCATAGGTCTCTATATAAAACTTTACTTCTATATATTTTTGCAATGTCTCTCTTTATGATCCTCTACTATATCAATTCTTAACCATAAATTCTCTTCATGTCTATAAATTTATAGAAAATATAATAACATTATTTGCCTTAAATTGTTTCTCACAAAATTCTATTACTATTTGTATAAACAAATCCATATACATCATATCAGCTCTTACAGACGGACATTCACAATTCTCTCTCTCTCTCTCATAATCTATATCCAATCTCTTTCTCTCTCTCACACCACCTTCCACTCTCTGCCTTGGCCTTTCCATATTCATATTCAACATTCCCTTAAATGCTATTCTAGGGCTGCGGTCGTCTCAGTATGGGTCGCTCGCCCAAGGAGAAGGCGCGTCCGCGCATCTGGAAACGCTCGGCCATCCAGCGCTGACAGCTCTCGCAGTGGCAATTGGGATTCTTGGTGGGTCCGATGTGGTGGCCCGGCTTGCGCATCACAACCACATTGCCAAAGCGCAGCGCCTTCTCCAAATGCTCGTGTGTGTAGCCGGAGACACTGGTGGACACATCGCTGGCCAGGCTGGGGCTATCGCGTGAGATCTCGAAACGACGTGCGGGCAGCGGCGATGGGGCCACCGTGCCAAAGGTCGTGGCCGAGGTGGTGCTGGGCGGTGCCTCGCTGCCGCAGCGCAGCACAGTGCTGGCCGTGGACAAGAGCTGGGGCGAGCTACGCTCGGACGACGGTGAGCCGGCCGCTGCCTGCACGCTGAGATTGTCGCGCGCTTCGCTCTTCCAGCGATAGCCGGGATGCAGCCGCTTGAAGGGATCAATGCCAGGCGCAGCGCCAGTTGCAGCAACGGGCGCTGTAGCCGGCGCCGGCTGTGCTGCCGGCTCTGGACTGGCGGGCGGACCAAAGAACTGCAGAAACCCAGGACGATTCCGTGGCACACTAGACAATTGCTGCTGCTGCAGCTGCCTGCCTGGATAGGTGTTGTAGCCCACGTTGTGCTCCGAGAACGCATCCGACTCGGAGGGCAGCGTATCGTTGCGCTGCAATGAGCCACGCTGTGAGTGCACCTCCCTGATGGTCGTCAGCGGCGGATGGGGTGAAGTGGACACAAGAGGCGGCTGTTGATGCTGCTGCTGCTGCTGTTGCTGTTGCATGGAGTGCTGCTCCGGCGTGGAGTGCTGCCTCGCCCACAGACGCTCCATTTGGCGAATGCGCACACGATCCAGCGAGTTCTCATAGTCAAAGCTATCCGATTTGGAGAGAGCTGCAAATGCTGGCGTATCCACCTCGTCGGTATCCTTCCACGAGGTGTCCACATAGTCGCCAGCCAGGGCGCTGGACACACTGCTGCAGGTGGCATCGCGTGGCATTGTCGAGCGCGAGGAGTTCGGATAGGCGCCGCTGCTTTGCGTCTCGTCGCTCGGCTGGCGCATATATTTCTGACGCAGTGTGGCCAACTTGGCGGCGCGCTGATCCCCAATGTGCTTGCGGAAGAGCAGCTGCTTCGACTCGCTCACCTCCTCAACGGTGCTGCACTTGGTAATGGCATGACCCAAGTTCAGTTTCTGCTGCTGCTGCTGCTGCTGCTGCTGTTGCTGCTGTTGTTGTTGTCTCTGTTGCTTTTGCTGCTTGGCCGAGGGCTGCGGCGATCTCTGGGCCAGACGACGCGGCAGTGCAGCGCCAGAGATGCGCTGATGTCGCAGCAGCATCTGCTCATTGTCCAGCACAGTCTGGGGCGTGGAATTCGAGTCCAGCTCGTAGAGCTTCGGGTCATTGCTGTCATCCGTATCGGAGCTGGAGGCTTCGGCATCCGCATGCTCCTCATCCTCCTCGGAGCCGGTGCAATAGACATCAATGTGCACAGTGCGCGGCTTCTTCTCGCCCAGATTGGGCAGACGTGGCGATGTCTGTGTCGCAGCACCGCTGGCCACTGGCGGCGGTATGCGCGGCATCGATGTCGACTTGAACGTAGACGAAGGCGTGATGGCCGTGGGCGTCAGCGTGGGTGAGTAGGTTGGCTGCAATATGAGATGAATAGAATACAATGATTCCCTCTCTCTCACTCTCTCTCTGTTGCTTACCACATATGTGTTCGCCTCCTCCGCCTGCCGCCTGCTGGCAAAATCGAGCAGCCCCTCGGCTGTCGCACGTCGCTGCTCGTAGGCAGGCCGTCGCCTCGGACGCTCCTCCGTGTCGCTGGTCTGTGAGTAGGCATCGCGCAGCTGCTGTGCACGCACCTTGCTGTGATAGACAAAGGGCTCATTCACAGCCGAGTCCAGCTGCTGCTGCTGCTGCTCGTTCTGTGGCAGAAAATCGGCCACGGCAGAGACAACAATGTTGCAGGTGCTGCGGCAACGTGTGCCGCACAGCTGAGCCGTAACGCCGCCCGGCGTCGCCTCCGACTGCAGGTGTCGCGAGGCCTGCGGACTGCCAAAGGCTGAGTCAGCATATGTGGTGGCCGAGGAGTTGGTACTGCGAAAGCTGGTGGCAGTCGTTGCCTGGCGGATTCATTCAATAATTAGCTTTAGTCATGAATCGATAAATGAATTTCCTTCAGGCTGCTCACCTTCTCCGGCTCGGGCTCCGCTTCGTGCTCGGCCTCGGTGTGCGGCGTGCTCCACTTGTACACCACGCGCATCGGCTGCAGTGGCTCCTGTGCATTGAACTCCCGCTGCACTGGCTCGCCTGCACGCGCGAATGTCAATTGGGCACGCACCGTCCACTCGGCGGTCAGCTCATGAGGCAACGGAGGCAGCGGCGGCAGCGGCGGCTTCGGGTTAGCCTGTTCCCCGCCATCTGCCCCACGAATGTGGCTGCTGGTGCTCATGATGCTGCGCCAGCTTTTAGGCACACATGTTTCACTTTCAGCTTCTTCACAATTTCTATATACAACACACGATCTGCACAGATACGCGGCATATAGTTTTCATAATATTTTTCTCTTATATATACACATACATATACATATATATATTTTCTTTTAGATTCAGCTAAAAATATAACACAAAAACGTTGCTCTTGATAGTTTGGCAAACAAACACCTACACGCACACACACACAAAAATGTCGAGAGGGTGGTTTTTCAAATAGTTCCAATTCAATAGGCATAAGATTATGAGAGTTTAATTTAGTAGCTCTTTTCTATTAAGCCCAAAGAATGTCACTGAATGCCCAACATATTCATATGTTTATTTATTTATTTTATTATATATTTTTTAAGCTATTTTTTTTTTAATTAAATTAATTTAATATATTATAATTTTTTTTTATTTAATATTTTTTTATTTAATTTTTGTGTTTATTAAATTTTTTATTTATTTAATGTTTATTTTTTTTAAATATTATTTTTTATTTTTTTATATTGTTTATTTTTAATTGGATTTATTTATTATTAATATTATTTTTCTTTTTTAATTTTATTTTGATAATTTTTTATATTTTATTATTTTTATTATTTTTGTATTTTTATTTTATTTTTTTTTTTATTATTTTTTTTATTATATTTTTTATTATATATTTTTATTATATTTGTATTACATATTTTTATTGTATTTTTTATTATATATTTTTATTATATTTTTTTTATTATATATATTTCTTTTTTATTATTAGTTTTTATCATTCTTTATATTTTTTATATTCTTTATATTTTTTACTTTTATATATTTTTTAATTTTTAAATATTTTTTAATTTGTTATTTTTTCTATTTAATTTTGTATTATTATCACTTTTTTTAATTCATAGCTTGTTGGATTAATTATTTTCCGAGTTTGCCAAGAATTAATGAATATTGTTGGGCGTCTTTAAAGATTTTCTTTGAACAAATTAAAATTATATTTTGATCACATAATTTACATGTTCTAATTAAAATCTAGACGCAACAAGAAATATGCATAATGCATAAGAGTTAAAAATAAATAACATAGACCATTTGCAGCATGAAATTTATGGCTTCTAATAATTGGCTGCATATGACGTACATATTGCTATCTGAATCATCGTGTTCTACATATGCATATATACATAAACATGTATATATTCGTTTAGTGATCAAAAGACATTGGCGGCAAGATAAAATTGAAAAGAAATTGAAATATTCATAAATTCAGCAGGCCGAAATTATTCATGATTCTTTGATGAAACATAAAATAATTGATTAAACACATTTATTTCTTTTTAATTTTCAGCTGAATTGATTAGCCAATTAATTGAGTGAAATCTATGCGTGATTTATATTATTAATTTTTGTATATTTATAAAATCGTTTACTATTGTTTTGTTATAGCTGAATTTCAATAATTGCGAATTAATTCTTTTGAAACTACCCTCGTTACGGGTGCGATTTATATTGTTAACGTTTGATTATAATCTTAATAATTTTTTCTATTTTTCTTGTTTTATTATTTATTTATAGCCACGCACAAAAACACTTTCGTTTTATATAGTTTATATATATATATAGATATATGTATGCATATTTGTGTGTGTATGTGTGTTGTTGTTGTTTATTCACTTGGCATGTAAAATTCAGTTTCTAATTTTATGTGCATTTATTTATAAATTCTCGTTTATTGTTGTTGTTGTAAAATACTAAAAATCGCAAGATGACCCCAAAAGCCAAAATGAGAAAAGCCACGCACCAAAATAAAATTGCAGCTCGAAAAATTTAACAAAAAAAAAGCTCAAAATTACGCAATGTTTTTTTTTTTTTGGGCAACAAATAAAATGGAAGTTAAAAACTCGTAAGACGCTGCGTATGCGTAATGTTATTTTTTTTTTAATGCCTGTGTATTTCTCACTCTCTATCCCTATCTCGCTTTAAAGTTTATGCGACATTTTTTGTTTTTTAATTGCATTTAATTAAAAACCCACTGCAGCAGTGCAATTTAATTAAAAATTATTGATATACTTAAAAAAAATAATAATTAAATGAAAATGGGAAATACGCGCGGCAAACGCAAAAGAAAAGGAAAGAAAACGCGCACGTAGCCTAAGCGGCAACTGAACTCAAACTGAAATGCGTGAAAATTCGCTAGAGAAACAATTTTTCCGCTGGTTGAAAACGTGCAGCGAGCACACAAACCGAATTTTTGGCTGCGCTCTTTTCACACACACACACAAACACATACTCAGATGTATATATATCTTAGAAACTCTATATATGTGCTTCGATGTATGCGTTTAGCATAGTTCTATTAATGTTTAGCAAACACAACAGCGTACAAAGGGCATTTGGCTCTTCGGCTTTTAGTTTATCGCAGCAACATCTGTCGCCCCCACTTGTCGCTAGAGTCTAAGCAACCCTCCTGCTGGCCCTTGTTAGCAACTGTTTATGTCGAGAGAAACAAAAACTAAAACTGCAGTTGGAATTTGGAAAAATCTGTGCCACCCGCGCTACTCGTTCGTTCACTTTAGAATAAATAAATATGGACTGCAAATAGAAAAGCGAAGCAACCACACGTCGGAACCAGGCACGATCTATTCTACTTGTGGTTGGGGACACGGGCAGGCTGTCCCCCCGTCCATTGGAGTCATTGAAAAGCATATGAATGCATATATATATATATAGAGAGAGAGAGAAAGAGAGAGAGAGTGAGAAACACAACCGCAGCAGCAGCTAAACATATAAATCAACAGCATGGAGCATGGGCATTCATTTGTCCAAGCGACAGGAAGTCGGAAATATTGTGAAATTAGTGGGATGACAAGAGAAATTAGGCGATCAGTGACGAAGCTTGAATACGCTTTGATAGAGTATTCAAGAAGAGCTGACAAACAGAAACTCTTCGCCTTTAAATAATTGATTTGAGTCTGAAGATAAATTGCTTGAGTCAGATGAAGACTGCAATGATCGATAGGAGAATGGATGAAAAAGATTTCAAGAAGCGAAAATGATATAATAATAAGGCATAAATTATAGACATATCAAGATTATACTCATATCAAGACTTTACTCAGATTAAACTTTGATTTATATAATATCTACGATGTATAGAAATGCAATAGATTAGGCATTACTAGAGACTAGAACTTATAGAAATATATAGCGAAAAATTTATAGTAATATAAAGGGAAATTTACTAACAATCAAGAAATCAATAAGGCCCATCCTTCAATTTAATAATATTGTATTATGAATCTATTTAAAAATGGAATAACCTATAAACAACAACCAAATATCTGCTAAACAACATTATTTTCACATTCCATTCATTTGGCTCTTATTCCCATCGTGTTCCCATTTTCTCTCATTTCATCAAACGACCTCTACAAGCCCATATACCCCACGTTACAGCAGTTCGGCCCACAGGGCCTTCTGGTGTCCCTGGCCAGTTGTCATTTTGAAATGCTGTGCATATTTTCGGGCATATTTTGCAAGCCAGCTCGCCAGTAAATTAATGAGGCGACAGTTAGCATTAAAAATATAAAACAAAAAAATGAAAAAAAATAATAACAACGAGAGAGCAGGGAAAAAATTGAAATATTTTCAACAGCCGCGTAATTAGCCCCGTTTTTTTCTCTTTTCATATTTTACGTTTTGCTCGGTTGCTGTGCAGCATTGTCTTCAGGCACACAGAGCGTATACGCAACGCATGTGCACATGAATCATACGCCGTGTGGCACACGCCACAAATGCTGTGCTCTCTCTCTCTCCCTCTCTTTATCTCTCTCTTTGTCACACTCTCGCACTTTTTAACAAACAATGGGCAGGCCTTACGATTCGGCCCGCCCGTTAACGCGCGCGCTTGTATTACGCTTACCTGGCCAACGGCCAGCTCTACGAATTTAGGCTAATCTAATTAACACTAAGTAGGTAAACGAGAGGCCGCCCACTCACCTCCTGCAGCGCCTTCTTGTCTGGCGCACGATTCGTCTGCAGCGTGCGTATGACATTCTTGGCTCCATCCACCACAGCCGCCTCGATGCGCAGCCGATGACGCAACTCCTCGATGCGCTCCTCCAGCGTCGTCTCCAGGCTCTGCGGCTGCATGCAGCCAATGCCGCTGCCTGGCCCCATGCCCGCTATCAGAGCGCCATGCTCGTCGGTCAGCTGGCGCGCGGCCTTCAGGCGATCGGCCTGCTCGCGATTCTGTTTGACTTTGATGATGCGCAAGCGCAAGAACTCAATCTTGGCCTTGGAGTCGGCCAGCATCTGGTATGCCTCGGCGAGCAGTTTCTTGTCGCAGCCAATGCCCAGCGATTGGATCATGTTCTCGGCGCCCGTTTTCACCTTCATCTCGATCTGCAGCTGTTTCTCCAGCGAGGCGAGCACCTTGTCATTGGCCGTAGCCGGTGCACCGCCGCCAGCCATCGCATTGTTCATGCCCAGGCCGCCGACAGCGCCCGCCAGCTGGGCGGGGCCGTTGCCATCAAGGCTGAAGGCAATCGATTCTGTAAACAAGATGGGGAAATTCATAATTAATGCATTTTATAGATTCTTTCTGGTCGAATGTGCAGTAGAGTATAAAAACACAATAGTGTATACCCTGTAGAGTGGCAAGGAATGGGGTGTATGTGCTGTTAACATAGTTTGTAACAGTGTAATGAAATTGTGTATCATTTCTGATGTAACTTATTTCTGATTAGTCTAAGGTTATACGGGCTGAGATTATCCCCTGTTAAAATCAATATAAATAGAGTATACAGAGAATATGTACCCTGTAAATGGCATAGTATAATTTACATTGACATTGAAATCAAACAAAAATAACTTTTTATTTGATTAACGTGTTCAACTCAATGGTTGAATATGAAAATACCCTGTAATTTGTAATAAATATAAAAAAGTGTGTATATGCAAAGTCAATCTCAGGCTAACAATGTATTCAAGGAATTGCATGAAAATCTACTTAATCAAAAAAAATCATATAGTAGAATTTTTTTTAAATATATCTATATATAACGTTAACATTTACTTCCCCAATATATAAAAAATATCTTATGTAGTATACCTGATTTTGATTCATTTTCACAAATTAACTTCCACTACCTTCATATTTATATTCATTATCCACTACCCCTTCCCTCTACAGGGTATCTGGTAGTCTACCTATCAA